ACAACTGCTGAACACTCCACAATATATGATCACTTCTTTTCATACTCTTGAGAGATGACACTTGGTAGCCAGGAACCACTCTAATGTCACTGACTATATATTAACAGAACTCAATTACAGGACAGCTTAAGCTGTGTGAGAGTCTATAAAGCCAACCTGAAAACACTGTATGGGAACTTAAGTAGATGTTGTCAGTCAAAAGGATCTATTTCAATGAAGCAAAGAATGGCATCAACAGGGTTTGCCAAAGGCAACAGATCCGTAGAAGTTGTACTGTAAATTAATCAATATGACCAATGGCAGCAACAACATAGCAAAAAGTCAGGCTATGAAGAAATACATAAACAAGATCAGGGACATCAGCAATTCACAAACTCTGAAATGTAAGTGGGAGTGGGAATTAGGAACTCTAATATTCTTGAATAACATTGGGATACTTAAAAGAAATTTCCGTGATTGTAGTCCAAAGTAAATAACTTAAGATCAGAAATTAAGTACATAGTGCCAGTCTTCAAGGTACATAGTGCCAAGGTTCCATTTGGATGCCAGGAAGCACTTCCTGACAGTCAGGACCCCGAGGGTGTGGAATGGGCTTCCACGAGAGGTTGTTGAGGACCCATCGGTGCGGGTGTTCAAGGATAGGCTGGACGTCCACATGGTGGGCATGTCGTGAGCGGAGCTGGCTGGTGCCGGAGGTCAGACTAGATGGCCCGGGAGGCCCCTTCTGACTCGCTCTGTTTCTATGTTTCATATGTGCCATTTCCAGTGCAATGCCACAACCTCACACAGGACTTTACACTTTCAGTTTAGACATGAAATAATTGTTTGTCTGAATGCACAAATGTGTATACGTGGCATCAAAGATCCTTTTGCAAGGAAAGCTTTTCCCTGCCTTGTAAGCCTCACATCAAGACAGAAATTTTGATGAGCTGGTGCTTTGCATTCTGACCAAGAACAGTTACACTCCTTTGAACTATCTGTCAAGATTAAATCTTCATTTTCTAACTTTTTTGTTCTGGCATACATGTACAAAATCTGTGGGTCCCCCCTTATTGAGCATAAAGGAAGCAGAAATATAAACTTTGCCATGTCTCCCATTAAAATATTGGAACCTGTAAATGTTAAAAGGGACAGGAAGCAAGTTTCACATGCATGCTTCCATCATACTCATGTACTCTGCACTCTATCCACATCTAAGCATAAAATGAAGTTATTTTCAGATAACTATCTGTCAGAGATTATTTTCTTTAAGACATCATACTTTGGAGGAAGATAATATAAGATTTTCTTGTAAGACATCCCACCTCAGCAGATTATCTACAAAATGCCTTCAAACTTATGTCTGCCTTTTTATCCTATTTGGTCTTAAGACACATGATAGAATTCTCCTGCTGAGGCTAAGCAAGCCTGACCTGTAAGCTGCCTAGATAGCAGACTGCCTGTATAGCAAGTTTAAGCTGTTCTGGGTTCTTTGAAAAAGGAGGAACAGCCAATGCCGTGTGATGGATAATATTTGACTTAGAGTTCAGGAGTCCAGGGTACAAACACTATTCACCTATGCAGTATACTTCATCACTGCAGCGTGACACAATTCCCAAGGTTGTTTTGAGGATAAGTGAGGGCACAAACAATATATCAGCATTCCTACTGCGGTGCCCAACCAGGTACTGGACTGCAACTCTCAGCCAGGAATGATGGGACACTACATTGGACAAGGAAGCAATATACACAATCCTGCCTTAAACCTCTTGGAAGGGAAAAATTAAAAACTCAAACTAAATACTTATGAAAATTGTGTAGCATAGAACAATCCTATGCTTGTTTACTCAGAGGTGCTACTAAATATAATACTGTACTTATCCCAGGTGTTTTGCAGGGCTATTTGTCATTGTTTGTTGCTTTAACAGTTTTTAATTTTGGATTTTTTATTTGGCAAAAAATGCTATTACTGCTATTATTTTAATGTTTTTGGGAAATGTTGTTAACCACCTAGAGAGTTTCAGCTATTGGATGGTATAGTAAGTAAATAAATAAAATAAATGTAGCTTTACTTGTGCAAAATGAAGGGTATAGGAAAAGAAACAAGTTTGAACGTTTATTCCTTCAGGGAACCCAAGTTGGCTTGGATATAATCCTCTCCATTTTAATCTCCCAACAACTCGGTGAGATGGGGTGACGACCAGTGACTGGCCTAAAGTCTAAAGTTACCGGGTGCGTTTCATGGCTGAGTAGGAACTTGAACTCTCATCTCTGGAGTCCCAGTCCCATACTCCAACTACTATACCACACTGACTCTCAGGATGTCAAATTCTTTATTTAACTGGGCATGCTCATATAATGCTCATTAATTAAATTTTAAAAAGAAAAAAAAACATGAGAACAGAAGGTTGTATAGGTACTTAACACTTAAAGGAAGTTATACTGAAGACATTGCTATTGTTTTCCCACTAAAAGTAAATGTAGTAGAAATACGCAAAGTAATACATTATTAGAAACACCACTTCAAAACACTTCACACTGTTTTTCTGCCTATGAGACTGGGTGGTGGTGGTGGAGGAGGAGGAGGAGGAGGAGGAGGAGGAGGAGGAACAGAAGCTGACAGCCAGCAAGAGCATTATAAACACTTTCTATTTGCATGTTCTTTTAAGTTTTAGTGGGGAATCATAACAGATCACAGTCACAGCAGCTATTTCTGTGACTAGAAAAGCAGAAAGATTCATTTTCTCTAACCGCAAAAACATTCGATACATTTTTCTTCAATTCTTACCTTTTGATGTAACATTATTCACACAATGTGAATGCATCAGGTTGCTGACTTGAACACCTAAGAGGTTAGCTAGCCACAGCAACAATGAACCAGAATGATAGAATAATAGAATAGTATGGCTGAAAGACGCTAGAAGGCCACTGGGTCCAACCCTCTGCTCAGTGCAGAATTCCAAGTTAAATGATCCCTCTCAGATGGCTGTTCAGTTGCATCTTGCATGCCTCTAGTGTGGGCGAACGCGCAACTTCCCTAGTTAATTGGTCATATTGCTCTAACAGGAAATGTTTATCTAGCCAGAATATGGTTTCCTGTAACTTGAGCCCATTATTCAGTGTCCTGCACTCCAGGATGATCAAGAAGAGATCCTGTCCTTCCTCTTTGTGACAACCTTTCAAGTACTTGTAGAGGGTTAGCATATCTCCCTTCAGACTTCTCTTCTCAAGGCTAAACATGCCCAGTTTTTTCAATCTCCCCCCATAGGACATTGTTTCCAGTCCCTGGATCATCCATGTTGCCACCCTCTGAACCCTTTCCAGCTTGTCTGCATCTTTCTTAAACTGTGGAGCTCAGAACTGGATGCAGTACTCCATAAAAGGCCTAACCAGTACTCATCTAAATCATTAATAAAAAGGCTGAAGAGCCAGGTAGAGTCCTACGGCACCCCACATCACCTACCTCTCCCCAGTTTGAGAAGGAGCCACTGAAGAACACTCACTTTGTCAAAGGCTTTGCTGAAGTCAAGATATATTATGTCCACAGCATTGCAACAATCCATAAGGGAGGTTACCCAATCCAAACATGAAATCAGATTAGTCTGGCAGGATCTGTTCTTGAGAAATTCATGTTGGCTTCTTGTAATCACTGCATTGTTTTCAAAGTGCCTGCAGAATGACTGCTCTATAATCTGCTCCAGAATTTTCCCAGGGATTGATGTCAGACTGACTGGTCTGTAGCTCCCAGGTTCATCTTTGTTTTTCCTTTCTTAAAGATAAGGGCAACATTTGCCCATCCCCAGTAATCTGGCATTTTCCCTGTCCTCCATGATTTATCGAAGATAAGAAATGTTCTCAAAAATGAGAAACCACCCAGGCAGTTGTTTGAGAGTTCTTCTGCAGCTCCCTTATGACTGTAGGATGGAGTTCATTTAGTCCTGGAGATTTGAACTCATTCAACCCAATTAGATGATTGATTTGCGTATTAATCTTGAGCTGCCATCATGCTCCATCAGCTCGTACTTCCCCTTCATCAGGAAGGTCCTGAATTTTATTTTAAGAGAAGACTGCGCCAAAGTAGGAGTTGAGCACTTCTGCCTTTTCTCTGCCATCTGTTATCATTTTGTCATTCATCCTGAGTAGTTGAACTCCTATTTCTTTCCTCTGCTTTTTACTCTGGACATATCTAAAGAAGGGTTGTTGTTGTTGTTGTTGTTGTTGTTGTTGAAGAAGTGTATAATGATCTGGTTTGCATGATCACTTTGGCTCATCATGGTTTATTTACACAGTGAGCCATCGCACCCTCACAAAACATCCTAAACATTCAAGCCATGTTTACATCTTGTTGGGTCATCAAGATGTGAGGACTGAGGACTCTGCAAGAGTTAAATAACCCTCATAGAAACTATGGCCAATTTTAGGATTACATGTTCAACCCTTCTATAAGGTACAGATTCCCAGTTCCGATGACACAACAAGCCACAGTTGTGACTTGGATATTTAAAATAATCATCAACTATTTTAAATATAATAATGTTGCGACCCACTATGGCTTAAATAAATCATGGCAGGCTACATGACCATTTGAATTGGCCCATTGACTTGAACATTCAAATCAAAGCCATTAGAAGGCAAAATTATGGATAGATATAAAACATATTCCATTCTAACACTCCAGTTTTAACAGAGGTTTGGATTTACCATCCAAATTCACATTTAAAGATTTGCATGCAAAGAATGTTTTACAAATTAAACTGGAATTAGAGCCATACACAAAATCATGGGAAAGATTTATTGTGCTTCTTTTGCCATTATTTTCTATGACTTGCCTTTAGCCTTCTGCATTTAGAAAGCTGCAAATCAAATAAAGACTAAAAGGATTTAAGGAAATACTGTCTGTGAGATACACTTTGGAAAACAATTCAATGCAACTTTTTTAAAAAATATCCTGAGCAATAAAGATCTTACAAGACCTTAAAAAAGGGAGGGAGGGAGAAAAGGAGAACTGCCTCATAACTTACCAATTCCAGGCCCTTGCTTCCTAATTGACAACCTCAGGGCTACTTTCATCACTTGTCGACTTCAAATCCACACTCAATTTTTCTTTAAAGATGACGGTACATCAGTGGCTCAGTGGTGTTTCTGGACATATTGCAGTATACAAGAAGTTATCCTTCATAGTTTGCATTAAAAAGGGAAGAGAATTGTGTTTGGGAACTGAGACTACATTTTTCCACATCTGTCAACAGCTCAAAAGAACACTGGAGTCTGAGTCTGTTCTTAAGCTGCAGTCAAGGTTTTGCACTTACTCTCAAATTATTTTAAATATCAACAGAACAAACTTGAACTTAATATTTGTATTCAAAACTGCCAGGACTTACTATTTATGTTCAAAATGTATGTATGTATTTAAAGCTTTTATAGACCATCCATCTACTGGCATCTTGAGACAGTTTACAAGTATTGACAGTATTTAAATAGTTCTATCACATCAAAGTATTATATCTATAAGGGAAAACCTTTTTGTAAAAAGGATAATTAATACATAATATACTGTAGATCATGGGAAACTAAGACTGTGTAGCATCCTTGAGATCCATCACAATGATGGACTGTTATAGTATGATACAAACCAAGGCATTTAATAGAAATTGTTATTAAAGAGACACCTTTTGTGAAGGTGAAAAGACTAAGATAGATGGACAAGTATGACTAGCAAAAAGGCTTCCAAATCCTATTGCTTATAAATGGCACCAGCAGAGCTAATAAGGCATCCATGTTCTATGTTAAAAATGGGCAACTTCTTGCGCTCCAGATGTTTTAGCCTACAATTCCTATGGTCCTTCAACATAGGCTGGGTAGAGCTGATGTAAAATGAAGGTCAAAGCATTTGGAGGGTCATACATTGCCTACAGCTGATGGAATGAGGTCTAAAACAGTGCCAACTTTCAAACCACTCCCAGATGAATGTTCTAATTGAGTATTAGGCAAGCATCATCTCCTACACTGCCTTCTCTAGTTGTGCATTGTATTAACTCCCCGTATGGTCTCCCAAGTTTCTTTCCCACCTCAAATCTCCTCCTCCTCAGAAGTTCCTATCATTGCTTCTCAGGCAAAAAAGAACTGTGGTCCAGGCATCCTTCATGGACTATATGTCTATAATCTGGAAATGCTTCAGGGTTATTTGATCACTATTGCCCTGGAACACCAACAAGTAGAATGGGAGGCTATGTAGACTTTGCTTTTAGTCCCTACCCAATACACCTTGACAGTGTTTCAGAGAGTAGAGTAGGAAGGATACAACCTTGCTTGCTGAGCCTCTTTTAGGGTCCATGTTTGTATTGCCACACCAAGTTTCTATAACAAGCTTACAATGCACTGGCTGAATCAAAACATCTTCTGAGAGATAGAAAAACAGTTGTTCACATAGCAAGAAGGGTGGCAAATGGAAAAGGGTACTAACATCTTGGTGTCAGTCTTACTCAGAAGTGTATCCTATGCCTGTAGAAAAAGAGAGGGAATAATGCAAAATGATGGGGATAATTTTTAAAGTTCACTATTTTGGCTGGAGCTAGAGGCTTCCCCCGGATTGTTCTTGTATTTTTATTTCACTTTCCTATTTATTTCTATTTGATTGTTCTTCAATAAACAACTTGTGATCTCAGTCTACAAAAAGTTAGTAGATTCAGTCTTCTTTAAAAGTGAAGAACTTCACAGAAAGGAGGTTGCAGTTACACCTGCTATAAACTATAATCCTTCACAAGTTACTCAGGTGTTCTACTGACTGATCTGACACATTCCTAGTGCCACCTCATATTTTCTTACTCAAACATTAGTTATCTTTTAATTGATGGCATTTGCTATCTACTAAGTCAGAACAAGACTGTCGTATTCATTTGCAACACATATCCTACATTATAAACTTAAGGAAGGGTATGTGTGTTTCAGTAAAACCTTATCTATAATACAGCACAAAGAAATTATCTAGATAATGTAAAAGCTGTTCCCTTAGTTTGTGCCTTTGCATTTTTCCTAATAAAAGTACTATACTACTATTACACTTTTGGTTTGTTCTAATTAGCAACACAGTTATCTGTATTTGTGAGTTGAGTGTGTATACCTAAAATAAAAAGAACTGCATGTACTCCTTGAAATGAAATCATTATTACTGTTAGTTAAGTATTTATAAATTATAAGCCTATTTATTAGAAAGGCAAATATACAAGAAAAAGTTTCAAATTAATCTGGGAGAAGGTGGGATTGCCAATACTTGTAACGATAAATTTCCTTCCCAAAAAACAGCCAAATTCAGTTATAAGACTACATGGAGAATAAGTTCTAAGCATAAGTTATTACAACAACATTGCTGAGCATGGGTCCCAGCTTCCTAGAAATTGGACCAACCTTGACCCTAAATAGCCTTTACACTGGTTTGAGAAAATCAAGAAATGGATAAAATTTAACTTTACGTACTTGCAATTTCAGACTGGAAACGAACTGTACAGGTTTGATTTTTTATGGAATTTTTAACCTGTCCTCTTGAAACTTATAGTATCAATATACTTCAAGGCAACTTACAGTAGCAATGTAATAAAACAATAACCTGTTAAAACAATAGTATCAATGATAAAACAACCACAACCTTCTCTTCACTTGCTGTCTACTTGAGCTCAGCCAGTACAAGTACCTACAGACCAAGCCTCTGAAATGGCACCTACACTGTGAAACAGAAACAGAATGTGTGAAGGTGATTCTCCTTCCAGCATTTGATTTGGTTTGCATGTAACAACAACCCAAAGTTCGTCCATAATTTGTCTGCCAGACAATTGTGCAAAGCACAGGTTGTTTTTCTAGTTCCTGAGTTGATTCCCTCCTCCTTTGCCTATTACCTCCCTGTATCCCAAATGGGGAGCAGCAATCCTGGCAAGCAGAGAAGTTCTGTTTTATTTTGTTTTGTTTTAATCATTCTTGTCTACCACCGCTGTAGCCTGGTGAATAATCGAAGTAAACTCATGGTTTGGATTTGTATGTAACAATAACACATAGTTCAAACAATCCAGTTAACATCCCCACAAAAAGCTAGACATTCTCTAGCTCATTCTGGGTTTGTGGTTGACAACTCTTAGTTTCGGGTTCAGAGGTAACGACAATCCAGTATTAACTAACCCATACTCTGGGCCACTGTTTGTGCAGGTTTGGCTGATGATTTGCAAACTGAAGTGTGAAAAAGAATAGGTCACAACAGAAAAAGGCCTATAACAGTGTACCATTCATGCATATATTGCCACATTGCTACACAAAAGAGATGAAGGCTTAAACTGTCTGGACCATTCAGCCAATGCAGAAAAAAACACAAGCTCACAGAAGTATTTGCAGGTTGGAGTGGGAAAAAGATGGGTTTCAGGTAGAACTGACTTTGTAGGAGAGCAGGCCAAAAAGCCCCCACAAAAACCCTAAGGTTATTCCAGAACTTCCATAATTGGGTCCTGACCATAGCGTTACCAACAAGCATTTGTTCCCATCTGGTTAAAAATTCAGTCATTGAATGAAGGTAGAAGGAAATTTTCATAGGTTCCCTTACCTAAAAATATACAATTTTTTCACCACAAAGAATGGGTTCAGAAACATTAAAAACCAGAGAGCTGAATCAAATTTGTGTTTCAATTCCAGGTTGTTTCTGTAATCTGCATATTATCTGGATACGTGCTACAAATGTCAAAGAACATGCTCTATGTATTTTGTTAGATTCTTTGTCTGGGATCACAAGAAATCAACATGCCCATTTTAAGAGACAAGAGGATTATTTGGAGAGCAATATCTGAGGATCTGTTTTTCCTACAGTGCAATCCTATACAGATCTACTCCCCTGAGTTCAACAGGGTTGGTGCAGGATTGCAGGCTTAAATGATTATCCTTCTTCTTTAGTGTGCATTGCCATCATATTGTTAAGCTTATTTCTACTGCCAGGGGAAGCTAAAATTATATACTTGCTTAACACAAACCTGGGAGTCTCAAGGTTATAAATGGATCCCCTGGGCCATGTAAAACAACCCCAGTCTATGCACATTATCCATTTCTCCATGTTAATCTTCCTTAGATAGTTTCCTTACAATATTCTATTCATGCAATAGGATGCAAGCTGTGCAGGCCTAGTCCTACCCACAGGATCCACAGTGAATCCCAATATCCTCAACAAAGTTTTACACAGCACATGGGAACAAGCAAGCAATGGGACATTGGAATTTGGAAGAATGATATGGCTCAGGTAATTTAACTCATACAAATAATTCCACTGCTGCTTGTAGACATCAGGGGTTCAGAAACAATCACCGCCAGATGGACTACACCTACAGTGCTGGTCCCAGGTTCAGATTCCTGCTGGGTCACAAATCCATCACTAAAGGCAGGTTACTATTGCTCACCCTACCCTGCCTTTTTGAGAGGTTAAATTAGATAAGGATAAATTGTTTTGTAAATTGGAAAATGCTCTAAAAATATTGATAAAATCTTCATCTTCAGATCTGCAAACACAGGTTGCAGTTGTATACATATTTACCTGGGGGAAAGTCCCATTAAACTCAGTGGTGTTTATTAGCCATGTTTAGGGATGCACTGGAAGAAATTTAAGTGTACTAAAAAGTCAGTGAAGTATTTAAGATTATTGCAACAAACTGAGAATTCAATATTGGGAAGAATCACATATCTGGATTTCTATATTTACCTTCTTCATGCAAGATAGTAAGCAACGACATTGGAATAAAAGACTGTTCTGTCCAATTTCTGTAGGCAGATGTTTCCCAGTTTCCTCCAATTTTCCTTTAAACCCATAAACCACATTTTCGGTGTTGATAATCTAGGCCTGTAACCTCCATTATAAGCTGGGAACCTTGCAGGGTGTAGAATTTAAGTTTACAAGCCTGTTTTGCTTTTCTGCAGGCGCTTTGAGCTTGTAAATGGCACCTTTCAGTGTCCCAGTGAATGAAGGGCAGCTAAGCCCAAATTCTCATGTTGCCTAATGGTCTCACATAAAACATGGTCCACGGAATTTTTATTGCTATTCCAGGACAAACTCACAGGTGAAGAACCACAAGGGAAAGGATGTCTTGAGCTTTATCCCTCTGAGCTTTCCAGGTGCAAGGAATTTTCCCACCCATTTCTCAAACAATTAATAGAGCTCTCAAAATAAAGTTGGCAGCCCCAAAGTTATGGCAGTGGGAAGTAATTCAAATGGAGAAAGTATCCTGGGTGCTGGCAATGCAGAGATCAAGATATGCTGACATCCGCAAAGAAAGCTGCAACATTTTTCAGCATAAAAATATATAAAATGCCTTCATTTTTCTTTATAAAGCACAAAAACCAAAAGTAAACTCTTCAGTACCCACAGTAATCGTGTGCAATTTGTAAACTAATCAGTATAGGTAACATCAAAAACAGGTTGACAATATATAGTGGATTGCATTTCAGCTGCAATCTTCAAACAACTTGTTTTAGACTAAAAAAAATCTAATTTAATCTACAATATTTTCTGGGGTAAATAGTTTGTGGACAGCAGTCTTTGAATGCTACAAATTACTTCCAAATTTAATGACTCATGACATGCCAAAAACAGTGCTAATGAGCTTTGCGGTTTTGCTTAAAAAAACAAAAAAGCAAGCAGAGACGGGCAAATGAAAGGAGAAGCCAGTAAAATGTAAGTCAAATTGCTAATTTGATTCATGCACAGTTTCAGCTTGGCTGTGGGTGTGCCAAACAGCACTTGCATCTTTTCCCATCAGGAAATGGGATTAAATGTTTTTAAAATATTTTACTACAGAGCTTGATTTTCATTCAATTAGAGGGAAAAACAAAATCCTACTGATTCAGGCACTTGAAATAAATTAGTGCCTTTCCCTGATCCTTATGCACTGAGGTACGAGACAAAGGAATTAACAGGAAATGTGTGTTCTCTAGTCAGTCTCATTAGCTGGCTCTGCTACATACACATCCTTACACATATGTTTTAAATGCTTTACCAACCTCCCCCCCCCCCCCCCCCCCAAAAGCATCCAAGAGTAAACTGCAGTAGATCACTGATGCCATCTTGCTTACAGAAAATACAAGACATTGGCACACTGAACCTAAAGAATTATGTGTATATTTCTGCTTAGGATGCTGTTATGCCAGTATTTTGTCCTTTTTTTGCTAGATTAAAATGCATTTATTCACCTAATACTATGTATATTGTCAAAGAAAATAACAGGTTACCCTTTACTTTGTACCCTCTTGTGCCAACAGACCCTGACACTTCCCAGAAGCAGTGGATTTTATGTAAAATAGTGACTTTGGATTGAATGAAGAAAGGTCCTAATCATAACTATTTATTAAATATCTATCCCACATTTTCATTCGAATTACTACTCAAGCAGGCTATTTTTAAGTAACTGGTTACATTAGCTGTGTGTGTATTGCAATTGGCTAAGGATTGTTAGCTCATTAGGAAATGAGTGCTCTTCTACTTAGGATGTTCATATTCTGGTAGTCTCTAGATAAAATTATTCTAACTTTACCTTGTTTGCTACATGAAATCCATATTTTATGACCTTGACTTTCAATTCTGCAAGGGGATCATAAACTGCCCTTAGCTACATTCTACTTTCATTTGTTAGAATTTGCACGTATTCACACACAAATCCCAGCACTGAAGCATTGAACTGGCAACCAGTGACCCATCCACCTCAACTTTCTGCCTTCAACACAGCCAAACAGATTCTTAGATTCATAAGCAGAGGATGCTGAATATGACCATTTCTTGTCGTGAGTCTGTGGCATCTTAGTATCAGGGAACACTGTCTCTGAAAACAGACTACTGCTTTTAATTACCACTAGTAATTATCAGTTACAGATATTTGCCAAGGTAATCCTGAAGCAGCAAGAAAATTATATGCAAGAAAACCTTTCAAGTGTTTTATTTTCTTCTAGAGGGAGGAAAGAGGGTGGGTGAGTGTAACAACTATTTAAGCAACCATATTTTGTTTTTCATTGGTAGACATAGCACAGCTCAAGCTAACGCTGAGGGAAGATTAATTTGAAACCATCTCTCAGTTTCTCTCAATTTCCTTTATGTTCCAAATTTAGAAAGGTTAGTTTTCATTTACAGTGCAGGCCAACTCTTAATCAGGTGTTATGTACAACTGAAGCTCATTTTTGGCAAGATGCTCTTATCCTACTTCAGTAGACATTGCTGATTTGTACCACTACAACTACTGCAATCCAGAACCTATGTCTGTTCATCTTCTGCATAATTGGTCATGCATACTGCATGACCAAATTCAGTAAGTTTCCTTGTCCACAACATCTTCTAACATATGGCTCTAGAATGTTCCAAGCAAGCACTGCACAGGCAAAGGCCCCATATGTGTGATGCCCAGAGACAGCAAAGAAGAATAGATTCTTATTTTGGATATAACAGGAAACAATGGTTAACTGAAGATTTGCAGATCAACTCTGGCATGCTGAGAAAGGGCTGGTTATGAGAACCGAGTGCAAACAAAAGGTTCATGAGTATCTCATCTCATGAGATTGTTCAAACATAGTCAGTGTACCACATTCTGCCAGAGCCAATGGAGCAGGTCTTGAAACCTGCTGCATCAGCTGGAATTTCATTGCAATAACAAACATCATAGGCAGGAGCTTCAGACATTAGACATCAGCTCCAAGTAGAAGGCAGACAAGTGATACAAAGAGAGTTTGCACATGTGCATGTGAGTACTTCATTCATTATCCAGAAGGGAAGAAAGAGGCTGACAAGTTCTGAATCGGCCTTCAGCAAGTTGGTTTGCACTAACATAGCTAAAAAGTCTCTTTATTATCTTGTATGCCTTGTGGCCATTTGTACAGCAGTGCACTGACACTGTCATGTCACATCCTGAAGCAATGATTATTCCTGCCATAGCAACACTGATTCACACATTTATAGTGGTGTCTCATATTTCAAACCATTCTAACTGCAAACATTCCAGAGTTCAAACACTGAATTCAAGATGAAATTGATCTTTAGTTTGAACAAGGCTTCTACATTCGAACTGCACATGCAGTGAAAAAACGTGTTCACTGCATAAACTTCATCTGTTGTGTGCCCAAGTCATCTGTCGCTGTGAAAGCATCTCTTGCGTAACGCTGGTGTGTTTGGTTATATATATGACCCCTGCATATTAGTACAAGACATCACCACTCTTCACTAAGGTACAGTAAATGCAATTTTCATTTTATTATACAGTACATATTTACATATTTTATTGTTTTCAAGTTTTAATTAATAATTTTGACATTTAGTTGTTATTTTTACCTTAAATTATGTGTATTTGCTGTTTAAGTTTATCAAAATGAGTATTGTTTAGAGCATGGGAATGGATTGATTCACTTTCCATCATTTCAAATGGGGAAAATTGATTCAGACTTTGAACACTTCAGAGTTCGATTTTAATTCATTTCAGGAGGCTGTTCGAAGTCACCACTGTATTTAGTTTGCATATAACACCAATTCAGAGTCCAGGTTAAGTACAGGCTGATGCTGTTGAATCATGGATTGTCATTACATGCAACCCCTATGCTATGGTTAAGTATAGGTTAACCATGAACAACTCAGATTGCACAATCCAAGAGCAAACCATGAGTTCTCTTCATAAGTTGTTCATAGTTAACAACCCATAGTCTCAGTTGTTGCTATATTCAAACTAAGCCTATGTTTGTTATGTGTTTGCTATCCTAAATTTACTCATGAATTTAGGAGATTAGTGGCTACTAATTTCTCTTCTGTTCCCTTTGTTTGTTGCTGCAACAACCCATAAGATTAGGTCTTAAAATTAGCAATGAGAATCAATAATAACGCTAATGAAGTCACTTTGAACCCCATTCCTATTACATATCCATCTCATCAGCTAATATTTTCTTTTTTAAGGTTGACATTTTGAGAGGTACAGACGCTTTAAAAACCTTCTAGTATTCCTAAATCCATACTAGACAAAACCAGTAATTGTGCTCTCATGCAGCAAACCAAGTGTAGCTACAACCTAGCATAACAGCTTGTTAGTGTCAACCATATATCAGATCCTTATTTTCAAGGCTTTGGAATGACATCTGTCTTGAATTATATCCAGCTGGGATCATGTTTCAATGACCAATATGGACAGATTACTGGAACTTTAAAACCTTGCCCTCTTTGTAATTGATGTTTAAAGTGTTTGAAGTTTCTCATTAAGTCCATTTTACAAATTAGGTGCAGATGTATAAAGCTAAATGTACAGTACTAAGGGAAATTAGGTCACCTGAAAGCTCAATATAAAATGTCTCTGTTAACTATTTAACTACAATGAGTACATTAAATTTTTGAAAAGGAATTTCTAGCAATGGAAACAGGAAGAAAGGAAGAGCTCAAAAGTAATTCAGATTTAGATTAAACTAAGTAGATAAAGTCTTGTCTTATTTATATGACACAAGTATCTAAGTCTTATTATCCAGTGCCAACTTTATTTGGAGTCATAATAACAATACATAGCATAGTTCTTAGGAATGAATTATAAATTTTGCTAAAGGGCATCATTGGATGGTCAGAAAATATTCATGACACAGATGGAATGGAGGGGTTTAATTACACACACTCTGTTTTACTTTTCTTTGGGAGATAAGGCAAATACAGTGCTATGGAAATTAAGAGATGGCAGGGCCACTAAAAAAAAAAAGAGTGGCAGAAGCACTCCAGGTGTAAATTGGTCAAAATCAAGGTAGAACAGAATGTCTGTTTACCAGAATTGCCTAAACAAAAGCAAAAAGCACAAGCCTGGCTTGTAGTGGACCAATCTAGAGTAGTTTGGCTCTTAGGAACACCTCCTAGCTATTCACAAAACATGCTAAATTGATATGTCTATCATTTAAAGATTATCAACAATACAACATATATCAACATTATGCCAATGTAACCATCATGTCTTTCCCCACAAAAATCCTTGGAACTTTGGTGAAAGTGCTAAGAGTTAGAGTTAGGAAACTGTTAGTTTCCTGGGCTTCTCCAACTTCAGTGAATCACTAGTAAAGCGATTTTAAGATGCTAGTACATATTTGTACCAATAACAGACTCTTTTCTAGAGTATGAAGTACTGAAACACTGAAAATCTTGTCATATCTAACAAACGTAAGAACCAGCTCTAGAATTCCTTGAATGACAGGTACACTAAATGTGAAACTACATGCCACCAGGGAATTGTTAGTCTCTGCTAGTCCAAACAGCAGACCCAAAACTAGCAAAATCATATTGCACTGCTCAATCCCATTTCCTCCCACCATGTAATGCTACCCATTTCCAATGTAGCACTATGTTGTTAAAAAAAAAAGCCTAAATGCTTCCAGCACTCAGTGAAGACTTGCAAAAACAGTCAGATTTCTGTCTTTTTCAAGATGTACATCACAGTAACTTCTCAAGAACATTGCATTCTGCAAAATAAATCAGGCTTGTTCAAATTGGAAAAACTATTTGATGATTTCAAGAATTATTTTAAAGGCCATGCCTAGTATTTCCTAACACTGATATGGTGCCACCAATGGACTGAACACAATTTCTTTTTCAACACTTCTGCTGCATAATAATAAAATGAATTCAAAGCAATTCAAAATCATATTACAAGGGTAAAGAGAGAATTAGCATGAAAATTCTCAAAGTGTACCATGAGACAGAGTTGTTAATCTTAAAATGTTTAGCAAATATATAATACAAGGCTTCAATGGTTCATAGAACAAAATAAACCCAAAGTTTCAGCTTCACAGAGAATTTTAAAAGCAGGTATTGTAGTTGCCAGTGTTTTTGTATCTGCATTTGGATATTCATATTTTGAATATTTGTTCAAGATTTACTTGCTAAAATGTTGCAAAACAGGAAGAAACTTATTTTCTGATTAACAGAGAAAGCATGTTAGAATGTA